AAAAATAACGTTGTAAGAGAAAGAAATATTTTACGATTTGTTTTTTAACATGATTTTAAAGATAAATATAATGAAATACTTGTACTTAGGTATGGTATGTGATTCCATGATTAACAAAGTTTTTGTTTTGGCTTCGGTTTTTACAAGAAACCACTGAACAACATGGCTTACTGATAATATTTCATGATGACGGTCGCAAGCGCACTAATTCGCAGAGACGGCCATTTGTACAGAAGCTGAGCATTTTGATCATAGCGCGCGGACACAGACACTTGCCAGACGCCCACTTGCCACTTCTCCTGTTTTTAATTTCTATGCAATTTACACATGTTCAGCGTTGCCGACATGTGGGGAATTCCCCAAATTACGGGGAATTTAAAATTGGTTGGGGATTTTTTGGGGATTGTTATAATGCGAGGATTTTGAAAGTCGATTGCCTGGGCCAAGTCAGAACCTTTTTTCAAGAAATCTAAATACTTATCTTAATATTTTTGTTAGGTTACTTGGGAATATCGAATGACTCTTTTTTTATTATCATCTTGCACCACATTTAATTTTCTGATTTTTTGGCAACTTTAGTGTATCATTTAAGGCCTTTCATTTCTTTATTTTTTATTTTACGGCAGAGTAAATGCAGCTACTGTGGTCCTTTTTAATAGCAACAAGGGAACGAATTAAAAATACTCCATGGAGTAAAATACTTGTTACAAAAATATGGAGTGTGAAAAAAATCGGTAAAAAAGAAAAAATGTTAGTTAAAAAATAAACCGTACAAAAAGAATTAATAAAAAAATTGCTTCATTACTTACTAAAGAAAATTGTGGGGAATTTGAAATGGACTTTCAAACGTTTTGTTTATTAAATTTTTGCTGTTATTACTTGCTACGTTTTTTGTTTCTTGTTTTTTTTTTTTTAATAATGTCTAATGCGTACCTACGTTTATAGTGCTCGTGAATACGGCAACATGTTAATGTGCCTTGGAGAAGCTCGCGTGCATTACGAATTTACAATTTTATAACGTATCGCTAAATTGTTAAGGCATCGGGATTAGGGAATGCAATCTCGAGATCTCGTCTATATTTTGCGAGACTGAGTCTCGTTCAATTTTTGTACGAGATCTCGCGAGATTGCGAGATTGAGCGGCGCAACGAAATCGGTGTGTATATCGTAGCGCGGTTGCTGTTCTACTCATGCTGTAGGCACTACTCCGGCACGCGTGCGTTTGTTTACGTAATTATCTAGTTTTTGTTGAATTTAAGGGATTTTTGTGATTAACTCGTTATTTTAGTGTAACATTTAATGTAATTTGGCACTGAACTATGTCGACAAACTCAAAAACAGTGTACAGTGAATACGGAAGTTCATTAGAAGTTTGGAAATATTGCTTAAGAGCCAATGATGGACTCAGTGCAAAGTGCAAGGTGTGTGGGAAGATTTTGAAAGCTAAAGACCGTTCTCCAAAAGGCTTACACACACTTGAAGTCTATACATAACATTGATTCGAAAAAAAAGGTAGATGTTCAGATTGAGGAAAATGTAGAAACTTCAATGAGGACTCCGGTTGCCGGGCCAGCAGCTTCCGGACCAGCTTCTTCTTCAGATGGTAGTCTTTAGCAATCAAAATCATCAACTGTACCTAAAAAGCAAAAAATTACGGACCATTTCCACAATGAAGATACTTCGAAGGAAATTATGGTTTCAAGAATGGTGGCTCAAGATGTTTACCTTTTAGGTACCTTTTCGTGTATTTTGCACCTCAAAAGACCTGAGAGACCTTTTTTTGTTCTAAGGGTCAAAATTACCGTCATCTCGTAATTCAATTAAACTTATGGTAATTAATTACGCAATGACCTTAAAAATAAAATTTAAACAAGAACTTGTAATTAGTGTTGCCAATTACATGTATGTTTTATTTTTATCTTATATATTGAAAATCAATAAACGGAATTAACTAATTAGTGAATGTTTTTAGTAAAAATACCCTATTGGGCGAGATCTCGGAAATCTCGTAATCTCGCGAGACTGGCTTTACGATCTCGCGAGATCTCGGCTAGTTCTAAAATCTCGCGAGATTGTATTCCCTAATCGGGATGGAACAAGTGTGTCATACTGGACATTTCATGAGATGTAAAAGCGTAAACTGAACACCAAATCCGATGGTTGGTTAACGTATGGGCAGGTTTATTTATGGATTTAGATCGGTAACCTGTTTCATACCTATTTTTTTTAAATAACTTAGTACGGAACTGATCTCAATAGGTACATAACTGAATACATCAGAATAATAAACATACCTACTAAATAATTTAAGTAAATTTTTCACAACGGGGAATCGAACTAGGCATTTGGTTGAATCTGTGAATTCGAATTAAAGTGGCTGGGTAGAGCTAGCACAGTGGCAAAATAGTAGGTTAAGTAAATAAGCTAGGTATTTAGACAAAAGTTGTAAATTATTAAATTATTAGTAGGTATTGGTACGATCGCGGGCTGCGGGTCGCGGGCACTTGAGTAGATAAATTACTCATGAGCCGCGCTTACATTGATACCTATCAGCTGATGTTAGGTATTTGAAGTTTCACTGCTGATTTTATGTTTAAGAGTATGGAGTGTAGAAGTAAGGAGTACCAACTCCCACAGTAGAATAGTTGAAAAAGTACAGTAAATAACAGTTCAAAAACTCTCCACAACAGCGCTGGAGTAGCTACAGAGATGAAATGAACTTAGCAATTGTCGACGGTTTGAAGTGTGCTGCTAAACTGCTCAGTAGCTCTAAAATATACAATAATTTTATTTAGTAAATATAACCTCGAAAAAGTAGTCTATCCCAGTAATATTTTTCGGCGCGTTCTTTAAAATTTACCCCGTAGCTATAGTGGCGCTACCCTTATTTAACGGTTTTCTATGGACACTTTTTAATACACAGTCTGTACTCCTTACTTCTACACTCCATATTTAAGAGGATACCTTGAAAATTAATCGTAGTTTTGAGGGTGTGGTTTATTCCTTTGCCGGTGAAGCTCACGGACGGCTGAGGGAGTGTCAAAATGAAAGTGATGTAATGACTTCATAATACGCAAATTATGAGATAGCTATACCGAGCACACGTTCGGAAAAAAAAACTAAGTAAGCGCCGAACAAAGTTTTTACTTTTTTTAACAAAACTACTTAATGGATTAAGCAAGTGGTTTATGAGAACTTAGATATGATTATTTACTATGCCTTAAAAATATTTCCATGAACTTATTCGTAAAAATATTGTGGTGGCATGGGAAAATGTAACTAATTAGAGCTTACTTTACAATTTTTTTCTATCGACAAAATTTCATCGTGTTTTCCTTTTATGCAATCCAAGGTCATATAGTTAAAAATCATATACCCAAATTTTGGTTTGTAATCTATAAAACTTAAATAAATATGTGAAATAGAAAAACCACCAAATTTTCGAGGTATCACCTTAAGTATTTTCATGATTTTTTTTTATGAAATTATCGTTTCATTTATCTGTACTTAAATGATAGAGCGTAAATGAAGCTAAATAAACGTTGTAAAAAGCGATTTTTTTCATCGGGATCGATTTTCTTTTCGTCCCATCATCAAGTACTATCGTATGTCTTCGTTTTCGGGAGCGTTTCACAAACACCCGTTTTTAGAAGTATAATTTTTACAGCCTATCAAAGTCCACTGCTATATTTGTCATAGTTGCCACACTCTGGTTAGAAACCACAGTTTTTTTATTACTTCAGAGTGGTTGTCAGGCGTTGTTGTTTTAAGGCGAAATTCGGCCTCACATAGAATATGTTTTCACCATTAGACCGGGGCTACTTGACCGTGTCCAGCGAATAGCTGTTTGAATTGTAAACAGCAGTTTTTCTAATCGACTCGATTCAATGGCGCTGCGAATAAATGTTGCTCGTCATTGCAATGCCCAGAGGAATTGTTTGGATTAATTCCAGCCGCCAAATTCCACCAACGCACATCGCGAGAAAACTCACAATGTCATGCACACCATATGGACACTTGGCTTTTTTTAAAAGGCTAGCAACGTAACTGCAATTTCCTTGGTGTTGCATTGTTCATGGGCGGCGATCGACGCTTACCATCAGGTGTACCACATCATGCTCGTTTGCCCACTCTTCGATAAAAGTAAATAAATGAGGAAGACGCTGCTGACTATCTGCTAAAACAGGGTTAGTTTCCCTCACTTACCTTACGGGATGATGGGGTAATAGATGCTCTTACGCTGCCACTATAACGAATTCTGCCACTATAACGAATTAATCTATAATGTTTGCATGTGTAAGATTATTTGTCTTTAAATTGTTATATTCGATTTAATTCATGTAGTAACTACCCCATGGTGTAAAAATTTTAAACATTACAGCTTTTATCCTATTGGCTGGTACCATAGTGACGTAAGAAATTGAAGGATTCGATTTTTGCATCGAACTTGAATTTGTATTACCTACAAATTACTGTTTCGGGTCTTGTTATTATTTATAATATTATGGTATATTTAAAAAAATGCAAAAATAATAAGCCTACATTGTCAATAAACATTTTTAATGAAAAATTTGCTTAATAAAATATAGGTCTACAACGTAAAATTGACCTATAGCATAAACACAAATTTAAATTAATAATGTTTTATAAGTACAATAAATGAAAAAAACTTTCAATATAATATAGACTTTAAAAATAATAATAATGACTTTTGAGGCTTATCTCAATGCAGAGACTATAGCTATCTCAAGCTCAGAAGAGGATTATGACGTCGAGTGTGCACAGATTTTTTCAATGTTTCAATTCACTTCTAGTTCTGCAAAAGTTTTCAAGGGCGCTTAAACCAGCTTTTAAACTGTTCATCTCAATCTTATTCCATAGCGTTCCCATTATTAGATGGTAGAAACAAAAACCAGTAAGTATTATTTTTATGATATCAGACAAGATATTGTTTGGCCAAAACCCAACTGTGCCTAATAGGAATATAAACATTAATCCACCTGAGGTGAGGAACAAGCGTTTTGATTTTGCTATGATGACAGTAGCATCTTGACAAACTTTAATTGCTTGAGCAATTGTCTCATCAAAACGATCATCCGCGCTTTGTTGTTCTTGATTATATTTGTTTTCACGACTTGCTCTGATACGTAATTCCAGTGATACAGCATTGTGGTCTGAGTATGAGAAATCTTCGCCTGGGACTCTGTCTTCTAATGGGTTTCCAAAATTAATAATATTGGCCTGGAAGTTCATAAAAATTAAAAATAAAATAAAAATACAGCACTTTTACTATTTAAAGATATCAATTAATTTATTTTGCAACCAACCGCTAACTAAATACAATGATGTGTCTTACCTGGATTTTTAGAGCACCTACCGCCCTCCCTCAATTACGTGCACTAATCCCGTCACCACTAATCCCAGCACCACTACTCCCGGCACCACTATTCCAGGAAAGACACACCATCGACGATAATACGACACGTGTTTCTCCTCTACACGAGGCATCCTCAGGTAATGTAGACTCTACGGCGGCTGACCGCTTAACGGTGTGTCTCTCCTGGAATAGTGGTGCCGGGAGAGTAGTGGTGATGGCAGTAATGGTGCTGGGACTAGTGGTGACGGGATTGGTGCACGCAATTGAGGGAGGGCGGGAGGTGCTCTTCAATCCAGGTAAGACACATCATTGTATTTAGTTAGCGGATGGTTGCAAAATAAATTAATTGATATCTTTATTATAATGGTTTACCGCAAAGTAACGCGTGATGAAATAGAAGAATAATAAAGTGGCTTTTGACTCTATTACAGTTATCACAATTACCGTTCCAGCCTATCAAAAGTAGTGCACATAAGTCTCCCCCATAGATTGCGTCATAGGGGGGATATTAATCATAGGTACCACACTTGCCAAGCGGGTTGGCAACCACAGTTTATTTTTTATTTTTGGTTACTATTAGCGAGATGCTGCTGCCATCTTCTGGTTTGTGTCCTTGCTGTCGCCTCTTATGAGACCTAATAGACAATATAGGATAATGAATATTCTTACGTGGTGTGTAGTGACTGGGTAATATTTCACACTATCAAATAAAGAAAGATTACAGATAATGTTAATATTACAGTCCAATTACCACCAGGTGGACCGTGTTATTCTGTTTATCCACCCTACTAAAAAATCCACTCACCGGTGGGTACTCGGAAACACGTGTTCATCTATCCACTCCAGTGGGGGAGGATAATCGAAATTCGTATTATATAATTTTCTTCCGATTATCTCCCTCGACTGTACAGTCGATTATAGAAACATGATAAATACTGGCCCCAATGTACTTAGTAGACTATACGTATGAAAATATATACATACTTGTTTGAAAGGTCAACGCTGAAATAAAAAATACTGCTGTGTTTCATACGGATAATCCTCAAAGGATTACAGATTCATTGGAATCTTGGCATAAAAAATTTAAAATGAAGTTAAAAACAAACATCCGGAAGTAGTGTTTTTGGAACAGTTGCAAAAAACTTCCAGTTTTACGCTGACACATCTGTTGTACCAAAGAAATTTATGAAACTATTGCAAATGTACATTAAAAGTGACGAATCTATGCAGGATATCAAATTTAAACTCAATTATGAAATTAGTGTTATGTAACTTCCTTCCTTCCATATTATTGCAGAATTTATAAATTATGTAATATTATTTAAAACAAGCTTAATTTGATTTTAATGCAAAATGTAATAATGCATGGGCTTTTTTTAATAAGGTCTAATGGTAATGGCAATATGATTTTTATATAATATTATATTTATATAATTTTATTTAATATGATTTTTGTTCAAGTTTGTGATTATTAAAAAATAATTAAAGTGTACGAGTTAAACTGCATTTAAACAAATAAAAGGGTAGATTAACACGCGTTTCCGAGTATCCTTCATGGACCATGGCATGTTTGTCACACTTTTATAAAATAAAAGGTTAGTTACTTTAGAACAAATATGCACATTTCATGAGACCGCTTATGCATTAAAATTTCATATTCCTTATAAGTAGTGGATCAAAAAAAATTATTGGACACCAACCCAACTTATAGCAGCATGTACAGGGTTCGAATCTATACTGCATTTGATAAATTTTCTAAAATTACTTTGTTCAGTTTTTGTTGTAATAATATCCCACCATCAAAAATAGAGATAGAAGACTATATCCAAAGTTGAAAAATATACTACTATACTAGTAGCGATGAATTTTATCATTAAGTATAATGGAAAAACCCAAAACAATAATTATAAAGTAGAATCCCGATTATCCGAACATCGATTATCCGAACATCCGATTATCCGGACTCATTCGTCTCGGCTCTAATTATTAATTTAAAAATGTTTTGACGGCGCAACGAGTCATGTTACGACAAGTTTATTACCGCCTCCGACGGTGTACTCCCGCTCTAATTTGTTTGCGGGATAGTGTTTGTTATTGTTTCATTTTCTTTCATAGCGTTCAACTGAAAGGTTGTCTTTTATTTTTGTTAACGTTTTGTGTTGGAAATTTAAAATGTCCAAGCGAAAAAGAGTAGTGTTGTCTCCTAATGACAAAATGAAGATAATTGAGAGTATAAAAAATGGTGAATCTGGCAGTAAGTTGGCACAAATATATGGTGTCGGAACTTCTACGATATCAGACATTAAAAAGAATTCTTATTCCATAATGAAATTCACCTGCGCGCTTGAGCAAGAAGATGGAATGGGAAGCTCGCAACGTAAAGTCATGAAAAAATCTCAAAATGAAATTCTGGAGAATGCTGTTTTTACTTAGTTCTTACAAAAGAGAGCATGCGGTCAGCCCATATCTGGACCTCTGTTATGTGAAATGGCAGCATTGGATTTTAATCATAAACTTGGTGGTGATACTTCTTTCAAGGCGAGCTGTGGATGGTTAGCAAGATTTAAATCCAGACATGGAATTTGAGAACTGGAGATTCAAGGAGAAATACTGTCTGCTAACGTTGCATCAGCCGACTCTTTTGTAGACGAGTTAAAAGAATTTTTAGATGAAAAATTGCTCGTATGGGGCAAGTGTTCGTTTTGCGCAAACGCTAAAGGAACACATCCTTGCTTGATTTGCCACTGCTACTTATTGGTAAATTAAAAAATTCGCTCTGTTTCAGAAATGTTAAAATACCCTTAACTTACGCTAACCAACAAAAAGCGTGGATGAACACAGATATTTTTCTTACTTGGTATGAAAATACGTTTATTCCTGAGGTGAAGAAATTTCAAAAGCACGTGGGAAAAGAGGGCGATGTATTGTTGTTATTAGATAATGCGCCAACGCACCCTTCCGCTGAAACACTAAATCGAGAAAATGGGAAGTTCACGGTTAAGTTTTTGCCCCCTAATGTAACATCGATATTGCAACCTATGGACCAAAGTGTCATTGAAACTTTAAAACGTTTATACAGAAAGCAGCTACTCCGTCGTCTTTTATCAGCAGACGACAGTGAAATAGAAACGTTGTTAAATTTTTTTTAAGAAATTAATTTAAAAGATTGTTGTTATATGCTGCTAGAAGCGTGGAATTCTGTGGAATTGCAAACATTAGAAAGGGCATGGAATAAATTATTAAAATTAACTCTATCTGATTCTTTAATTAAACGCACGACGATTTTAAAGAAATAACCGAAGCAATGAAAATTCTTAGCATTGGTGAAGGGTGCGATGAAGAGAATATTATGGAGTGGCTAAACTGCGATAGTGAAGACCCTGGATTCCAAATATTAACTGATGAAGAAATCATTGAGGATTTAAACAGTAACGAGAGAGAAGATGAAGAAGAGACTGAAACTGGTGATGTATGTCAAGTACCATCTCACGCAGAAGCTTTTGAAGCTCTAGATGTTGCTTTTAAGTGGTTTGAAAGACAGGACGAATCGGATCCCATACAGTTATTACAACTGAAGCGCATCAGGGACTTGGCTGCGAGAAAAAGATGTGATTCATTACGTCAAAAATCTATAACAACCAATTTCCAACCAAAATTTTAAATTAATTCATTATCTATCGTTATAGCTCGTTTTTTATATATCGTATTATCTAAGTAAAACCCATTACATAATAAAAAATTATTAAAACTTAAATATTATTTGATTTGCTTTGAAATCGGATATCCGGATTTTCGATTATACGGAATACCCCTGGTTTTAATTGATCCGGATAATCGGGATTTTACTGTACTTAATTAGTTTTACAAGCAAACAAAAAAAAACAATAACATGAACAAACCTCCCACGCTGGGCTCACTTTAAAAAGTATATGATCTATTCTCTTTCCTTCAGGATTATTTTTTACTGTTCTAGAATCAGAATAACTGTTGTTGGCATTGTCCCTAGTGCCTGATGGCTTCGCAATCGCTGGATTACTTCCTTCACATCTCATTACAAATGGATCTAATAATGCAGGTAATTGAGTAATAAGCCTGAAAGAAAAATATTATATTATAAATATAACCATTATTCTATATTATTTTTATGAATAATTAAATAAAATATTACATAAGTAATATAAATGTTAATACATAGTTCTGCAAACTAGGTCAGATGGCCCATTTATGTTTAATATTCGCCAGTTCATGATTGCAAAAAATACTTAGATGAAGTAGTATAGTCTTGTATAGCACATAAAAGGAGGATGGCCAAATCGTACCCGACAACAAAATGATAGCGTCCTAATATGAAATATTTATGTAAAATACCCTTATTGTTTAAGGTCTTAAAATACACAAGAAATACTTCTCTAAGTAGCCACAAAAAAAAGTTATCCATTTATTTCTATTTTTGTAACTGTTCAAAATTATTTCAAGTAATAGTTTCAGAACGCACCTAATAGACCGGGAGCTGGTGACAGGTGACGTTCCACGATTTTGTCGTGCATGCCTTTTTAAGGCTTGATAACTAACCCTAAAATATCAAAGATTGTCGGGGCTTTAGCCCCCAAGCGCGTCCTCTTCATAAGGAAAAGCGCTTTTCTTTGTGTAGCGAATTTTCGTGTTTTTCCGTGATAGTATACTGCATGCCATTGTAATATACGGAAGTTCAAGCAAATTGAAGCTCTAATAATTGATGGCATGCACCCCGCAGCGGCCCAAGATGATCAAAGGGTTCTGAAAACCTGAAAAATATTAAAGGGAAATTCCGTGTTTTCAAATTGCATGTCGATGTAAAGAATGCAAGTTTTTGTAATAAAACACTCTGGAAAAATTGGCATTCCGCGCCATTATTGTTATTTCCTTCTGTTGTTTTGACTTCGGTATTGTTTTACGGACTGATTCTTTCACATCTTGGATAATTGTGAGAGACATCGTGCAAACTACACTGCTATTGCTATGTGTTAATTGTAACATATGCATTGATACACTTCGCCACCATGTCGTTTTTGAGCTTGATACCAGAGTAGGGAATGCAATCTCGTTCTCGCGAGATCCCGATCTCGAGATCTCGTCCATGTTTTGTGAGACTGAGTCTCGTTCAATTTTTTTACAAGATCTCGCGCGATTGAGTTGCGCAGCAAAATTGGTGTGTATATCGTAGCGCGGTTGCGCGCGAACTGTTCTGCGCATGCTGTAGGCACTACTCGCGCGGGACTTGTACTGTACCTAAAAAGCGAAAATTTACGGACCATTTCCACAACGAAGATACTTCGAAGGAAATTATGGTTTCAAGAATGGTGGCTAAAGACGGTTTACCTTTTCGTGTATTGTGCACCTCAAAAGACCTGAGAGACCTTTTTTGTTCTAAGGGACACAAATTACCGTCACCTCCTAATTCAATTAAACTTACGGTAATTAATTACGGAATGACCTTAAAAATAAAACTTAAACAAGAACCTTCTTAGCTAAAGGAAGATAACTACAGATTTACATTAACCTTCGATGAGTGGACTTCCTCTAGAAATAGACGTTACATGAACGTGAATGTCCACACATGCAAAGAAAATGCAGCCATATTTTGGAATTTAGGCTTGATGAGAATATACGGCAGTAGGCCTGCCGAAACTGCAGTGGATCTTTTGAAGAACAGACTTTCAGAATTTGTATTGTCTCTTGACGATGATGTAATCAACATTACAACAGATGGGGCTAAGGTAATGATCAAATTAGGACGTTTGATTAATCCTCTACATCAGCTCTGCTATGCATTCAGGCATTCAGTTGTCTATCATGGACGTTCTGTACAAAAAACAAGATTTATCTTTGTCTGAGGACAATGACATTGATGAGATATTTGACGTATCAGGAGAAGAAACCGAAATAAACTCCGATGACGAAGACGACGTTTTTTACTCTTTTTATTTCCAACAAGAGAGGTAGATCTGGATACAGAGTACGCGAGTATCATAGAAACGGTCAGAAAACTAGTCAGGCTTTTTAAGAAATCGCCAACCAAAAATGATCTCCTCCAAGTTTACACTAACCAAGAATTTGGCAAAAACTTACAGCTACAATTAGATTGCAAAACACGCTGGTCAAGCCTTGCTGACATTTAATAAAGTTAAACTGTGTGTCGGCAAAGCATTGATCGATTTAGGTCTTGACACTAATTCGGATTACTCTTTGAGTGCAGAAGAGTATACAGTTTTGACAAACTTAGACAGAGTATTTCAGCCTGTCAAACTCGATGTGGAGGTCTTATGCCGTCGAGATTCTGACCTGGTTACTGCCGAAACGACTTTAAGATTTATGATACGCAAACTTGAAAAACTGACGACAACATTGGCAAGAAAACTAGCAGAGTCATTGAGAAACTGCAGAGCTGAGCGCCAAACTTGCTTGACTTCAGTATTGATATATTTGAGAGATTATGTCAAATATGAGGAAGATTTGGAAGAATATGCGCGAGACGAAACGTTCAAAATGTCACAGAAAGTCAGTATCCGAAAAGAAATTAAAAACTTATAAAGAGATTGCACTGCAAGACGCAATACTACTATCATACACAAGAAAGCTCATCTGTTACAGAGCCACTTCCTGCTGTAGCTGCTTGTAATGATGTTGTACTTGGCGAAAGCAAAGACGCTAATGATGATGTGCCCCTTTCTGTTCTGTCCACGGCTGGAAAAATCATTTCCTTATATTTCGAAGTTTTTTTTTATTTTAAGTTTTTTGTTCTTAATACTGCAGAAGGCTGATTGCGTGTTATATTTCGAAGTTTTTTATTTTTATTTTAAGTTTTTTGTTCTTAATACTGCAGAAGGCTGATTTAGTGTTATATTTCGAAGTTTATTTATTTTAAGTTTTTTGTTCTTAATACTGCAGAAGGCTGATTTATTGTTATATTTCGAAATCTTTTTTGTTTTTATTTTAAGTTTTTTGTTCTTAACACTGCAGAAGGTTGATCTTTGTTATATTTCGAAGTGTTTTTTTTAAGTTTTTTGTTCTTAATACTGCAGATGCAGAAGGCTGATTTTCAGTTTAATATAATAAGAATAAGACTGACGAATATTATATTATAACGTAATATTGTGTTTTATTTTAAAATAAATGATTATAATATGCCAATTACATGTATGTTTTATTTTTATCTTATATATTGAAAATCAATAAACGGAATTAATAGTATTAGCGAATGTTTTTAGTAAAAATACCCAATTGGGCGAGATCTCGGAAATATCGTAATCTCGGCTAGGTCTAAAATCTCGCGAGATTGCATTCCCTATACCAGAGTAATTTCTAAGATCTGCGAGTGGAATTCTTCAATAATAGTACGTATTTACGTACCTATTTACTTTATTACTCTAACATATATCAATCATACATCATGACACTATAATCAATCATACATCATAATACAACTAATTCTTATTTTAGATCACTGAAGAAGATTACGTATGTGATGCCTGTCAACAATTGGCAATACAGCGTGTCAACTCCGGGTTACCTAACGAACCTAGTGCTTCATCTTTCCGTGGCCACAAGCATGTTTGCATACTTTGTGGAAGTTCTCTGAGGAATCGTAAACGTGACCATATTGTGAGAGAGAAACCATCTCAGTTGCAACAAGCAATACATGTTGAGCTTGAAAATAGAATTGCCCCACGGCAGGTAATAATTACCTTTTTATTTTGTACTTTTTTTGTTTTGTCTTGGTATCAAAGTTATAGTGAATTTATCACTGCAATTTTATATTGTTTTGCAAAAATGTATCTATTTGATCGGGTTTAATAATAATGAGCCAAAACATTTATATTAAGACAAGGCTGTATGGTTGTTTCAGGCAACTTCAACAGACCATGTTTGTCATCCCTGTTGGCTGAGACTCAAGAGAGTTGCAACACATAATATGCAGCAGACAGAGCCAGAGTTGGAGCAGGAGCCAGAGCCTCGACCCCAAGAACCTTAAAGCCCTCCAAATACCAACCAGCAAGATGACGTAGTACCTAGGGTGATTAACCGCAGATAGACGAGCGGAAAAGAGTTGTGTTTTTCTGGTTGCCAGAACACAGATTTGCATAGAATTTCTGACCCTCTAAGAGCAACAACTCTTACTTGCCTATGCCTAACACAAATATTACTTGCCTATAAATGCTCATATTTGTGTAGAACATACATTTAGTACTGATTGGGATATGTTGTTCAATTCTCAAAATAGTTTGAGAACATTTACATTGGAACATGCTCTTTCTTTTATAAATGCTTTCAACACATTTCTTGATTTCTCGAGTATGGAAAGTGTTGAAAGATTTGATGAGCATTTGTTTCATTATTGGGTCGGAATGAATAAACAACAATTTGAACTTTTATTATATGAAAGCCGCATCTTATAAAAACAAATAAGAGGCATTTTAGGTTTAGGTGCTCTTCTAATGAAGATGAGAACTGGTGAATCAAATGACTGGTTATCTCAGTTATTAATGATTCCAAGGCGAACATTAGAAAAATTAATGGATAAGGTTAGAGAAATATTGGTACAAGATTTTGTGCCTAGAAATCTGGGAATTGAACACCTGTGAGCAATTATTACAACACAATTTAATGATTCCATATGCAATTTATAATCAAAATAATGATAATGCGATAATTATATGTGGTGGGACATATATTTTTTGAACAAAAGTTCCAATTATATGTTCCAAAAGTACACATATTCCTTACATAAATACAAAAACTTGTTAAAACCATTTTTGCTAGTGACACCTAATGGCTACATTGTAGAGTGCTTTGGCCCATATGATGCATATGTTTTCATAGCTGCAAGCCTTTTAAATAAATTCAGTGTTCGATTAAAAAACTGGAATGATGCTGAGCAAATCATAAATGTGATTAGAGAAGGATTTCCATTAAATAATAATTTATCTGATTTTATAAATAGCATGAATATCAATAGACAAACATTTGATTTTACTAGTATTACAGCTCATTCCAATACTAATATTATATTCTCCCGTCTAGAATATAGTGAAGTTATATTATTTGCCCTAGGAACATATCAGATTCAACAGGCAAGGTCCTATTATAGTGAACATGTCAGGTTACATGGAGGGTATCGAATTGAAATAAGCACAGAAAACATTAATTATTAACGGAGTATTGTTTGAGAGGAAGTGGACATAATTCACTTATAAGAGGCAAAATCAAATGCAGACACATTTCCAGAAAAGTATATTATGTTTATATATTAATTGAAAATAATATGTCTTGAAGGGAAGTTATAATAGAGTATTGCTGTAATTGTTTAGTTTTTAGAAGAACAGTTGGGTGCTGTGCACATGTTATGACGCTTGTGTGGTACCTTGGGTGGACCAGGCATCAGCCGACAATATAGCCAGTGCCAGCACCACTCCTTGATGTTGTAGTTGTAAGAAGATGATGAATAAAAAGTAATTTTGTCTAGCCTACTTATTTCATTAAAGTACTCCTAAATTCTACCATTACACTTCATTTACTCCCGTAACCTATCATTACCCGATTTTTCAATACATATGCAACTTTAGTATTGAAGACTGAAAGACAGTAGTTATCTAGGTGCTGTGCACATGTTATGACTCCTGTGTGGTACCTTGGGTGGACCAGGCATCAGCCGACAATATAGCCAGTGCCAGCATCACTCCTTGATGTTGTTGTAAGATGATGAATAAAAAGTAATTTTGTCTAGCCTACTTATTTCATTAAAGTACTCCTAAATTCTACCATTACACTTCATTTACTCCCGTAACCTATCATTACCCGATTTTTCAATACATATGCAACTTTAGTATTGAAGACTGAAAGACAGTAGTTATCTAGGTGCTGTGCACATGTTATGACTCCTGTGTGGTACCTTGGGTGGACCAGGCATCAGCCGACAATATAGCCAGTGCCAGCATCACTCCTTGATGTTGTTGTAAGAAGATGATGAATAAAAAGTAATTTTGTCTAGCCTACTTATTTCATTAAAGTACTCCTAAATTCTACCATTACACTTCATTTATTCCCGTAACCTATCATTACTCGATTTTTCAATACATATGCAACTTTAGTATTGAAGACTGAAAGACAGTAGTTATCTAGCGACTAACTCTCTTCAGCTAGAATTGAAATGGTCAAACTACATAAAATCCTTGAAATCTTTCAGGAAAGACTTCGTGTGATAATAATTACGCCATCCTTGTGTTTTACACTACATACTGTGCAAGCTAGTGCAATATATGTAGGTGTAGTTTTTATTGAATTATCGGTCATAGCTGGTCGAAACAGTCAACTTCACGAGACAGTTTGACAGATGGCCCTTTTTGACATCGAACTCTAGGAGTATGATGCACATAGTAGGGTGCGCTTTGAGAGATGTTCTATTATTGGGTAATAAAATTATTTTAGAGAAATCTAAATAAATGGAAACAAGATCACTAATTACCCTCCTCACTTATCGCTAACTACAATTTTAGGCTACATCGCAGTCGGATAAAGCATCCAAGCAAGGTTTTTCGTTAAAAATCAAAATGTACAATAAATTGCCTTTAGAAATAACAAGACTTCCATTAAACGCGTTTCGACAAGTGACAAAAACATACTTTTTGAATCACGCTTTCTATAATATAGAAGAATATATGAAATGTTCATTTTCTGACTTGCTTGACATGTAAATGTAGATGTAAGTATTTTAATTTGTAATTTTAATAATCTAATGTAATCTAATATCATTTGAATTGATTGTAATTTTGACATACCAATGTTATATTTTAACGAAATGATCAATAAATTAAAAAAAAATAAAAGGTATTTGTTGATTCAGCTTTAAAAATATTCTTGACGTTATTATAAAAAATTGTGGCTATTTAGATATTATTTTTAAACGTGATTATGTTTACAACATTAAATTAAACCAATCTAACTATAGTTTGTTTTGGGACATGAAAAAAAAGTCAAGTCCAGCTCTTATAGGCCATCCTCCTTTATGCAATTAGGAAAATTAGTTCAGAGCGGGTATGCACCGAACCACCAATGGTGATGTACAATGCTGTCTAGTGCTTAGTATGATAATAAAAATGATCATTTTGCATAGCAGTGTTTTGTTTAATGACAACAATATCAAATTCCTGATTTAATATTGTTCATTTTTTGTTTGCCAAACGTTTTACTCTTAGCATTTTTTTTACAGAATAATAGTGACAAACAAGCATACAGTCCACCGGAGTTAAGTGGATGCTGTGGCAAAAAAGACATCTACATCAATCCACAATAAAGAATCTAAATGCAAATGCCATGTCACTCTTGAGGAAAAAGATAGAATAATAATTATGACCAAATAGAAAATAATATACTACACATATTAAATATTTTATTTTTTATAGAATAAGGGCAACCAACAAGCTCACAGTCCACCCGATGTCAACTTGATGCTGTGGCCCATATACATCCACATCCATCCTCTATTAAGAATCAAAATGCAGATATGCTATCACCCCTGAGGACTAAGATGGAACGCCTCCATTCCAGTAAAAAAGGGTCTCCGGATCTCGACACTCAACCATACAAAACGCAGCAGTACTAGGCTGATATTTCACGCTGGTATTCTGTGAGAGCGTGAACCCTCCCCTGCTGAGCTGACCCATTCGTGCTATAATGATAACAGAGTTGCAGCGTAGCTCCACCATGTAATATAATGTCTTTATAGAAGTGTTTGTATAGAAATGGTTTAAATGACAACAATTTCAAATTCCTCATTTGATCAGATTCATTTTTTGTTTGCCAAACCTTTTACTCTTAGCTTTCTTTTACAAAATAATGGCGACAAACAAGCAGAATACATTCCACCACATAGTAAGTGGATGCTGTGGCCCATAGACATCTACATCAATCCACAATAAATAATCAAAATGCAAATGCAATGTCACCCCTGAGGACTAAGATGGAATAACAATTATGACAAAGTAGAAAATTATATTCTACACACATTAGATATCTCTTTTGATGTCTAGTCAGATTATTTCTGACACAAATACTGAATAACCGATAGTAATTATATTCATTACTAGTACAATAATTCTACCTCTAACAACTGACTGAATAAAACAAATTGTGAAGTACACTGACTGAAATGTACTAACACAGTGTGATCTTTGAGATAACTAAACAGGCACAAGTCTATTGCCTAAGAGTACATTTAGGTACTAAAAAAAAGGTAAGATGATGGACCCTACTTATACGATAGATAGCAGTGTATCTACTGTTTATTCTATTTTAATAGGTGTGGTAATTCATTAAAATTACAAGCTAGATGAGTGGATCTGAGTGGGCTGCATTATAAATTTTCCATCAGAATGGAATTGTTTGTCATTGAAATATTATGAATAATTGCATCAGGTGTTACTAAAATAGCAATAACAGTTCTATCATAAAGTTAACCACATACATATTAGGTAATTTTTGTTACCGTCTGGAAAAACTACTACTTTTTTAAATACCCATGGGAGGCACTGATATTTTAATTTTTTTTACATTAACATATGGAATTGATCTATCAATAAATACTAGTAATTGGGTGTGTATTATTTTAATTTCGATAGTTTTTAATTTATTTGATCAGTTCAAAATTTTTGTTTTTATTACTGAAAATTTATTTTAAATTAGTGGTATTTATTGATAGTTTAATTTCATAATATGTTAATGTAAAAGCAAAAAAAATGGTAAAATATCAGCACCATAGGCTTCTATTCCATTCACCTGTTACATCCAATTTTTGCCAGACAGTAAAAAAAGCATCAAGTAAGTATTCAATCTTCTTAGTAGGTAGGTACCATAAAAATAAATAATGAAGTGTTAAAATCAACTGTTACAAAAAAAATTTGTAACAGTTGATTTTACAAATTAATTACCTAAATGATATATCTCCTGGAGCTGTATTTAAATCTCCTGCTAAAATGGAGACATCAGCAGGTGATGAAGTAAGATTTACAAATTCTGCAGTTGAGTAAGCTTGTAGCACTCTATGTGCTAAGTACATATCATCCTCATGATATTCTGCATGCAGCTGTAATATATACATATTTTTTACTATACAGTTTTTTTTATACATTGTCCTTATCCTCTTTTGTAACTGCAAAGTTATAAAATCTATGCAAATAAATAAAATTGAGTTGTCTGTTTGTAAAGTCAAAATAACAGATTTTTACTAAATGCATATGAAAGTATATACTGTACCTACGACAATTTTTTTTTCTATCTATCTGTTTGTTCCGACCAATCTTCAAAATGGCTAGACTGATTTTGACAGGACATTCACTGACAGATAGCTGATGTTGTAAGAAGTAACTTTACTTAAACTCTTATTTAAAAAAATATTATTAGGGTTATGTACAAAAATTTAAAACCCATGAATTCAAATCCATTTATTAGACAGTAGTGGGGAACAGCTAGTATAGATAGCAAATTTTTGTGAATGTACTACAATAATCTTTAAGTATTTGCTATATAGCTATATTTTTTTTTCAGAGTGTAAGATCTTTAAAATTACTTACATGTGTGCAGTACACATTTATAAGCTTATCTTCATATCTAATTCGACATAACCCAACTCCCTTCCCTCCAAACCAGTCACCATGGTGGATCTTGTGGATATATCCATTTAAAGGCCACTTGTGGAAAAATACATCCTGTATTAACCATTTAGAAAATACACACAGTCCCGAACCAACGACACCACTGAAATGAAATATATTTTTCCATTACCAAATCATTATTAGAACCAAGTGCAAGAAAGTAGTTTATATCTAGTAAAAGTACATAATTTACCTATAGAAATAATGAGTATATGGCAAGATATGTTTAAGACTGTCTTTTAAAAACAAATAATCATTTTCACTCCAAATCTCCTGAAGGCAAACAATTGTATGAGAACTATTTATTAGATATTTTGCTAGAGCTTGAATTCTTTCTTTTCGGTTTTTAGAGATAATTGGTATTCCCCTGTAACAGTTACAAACGATATTTAAAAAAATATTAACTAACCAAAAAAGTGTAACTAATAAATAAAATCTTACCAGCAATTTAACGTAAAAATATTTAGTGTTAAATCCATATCTTAGACTTGTGTGTTTTTAATATTTATAACAAATCGCTATATTTCGTCTTTGGTTCTTTTATCACAAACGTTTACTTAATATCACAGCAGTTTATGGAATTATTCACAATGTACAGCACATTCCGAATTTTCACTCAAATACAATTATGTTTTACTTACGGCCAGTTTTAATTATTACTAAATGATCACAAATGATTTTGGCCTAGAAATTTAGGTACCTATTAAGTACTTACCACTTAATTAATACCTCATTAGGTAATTAGTTATTACTGGTTATTACTAAATAAGTATAATGCAAAGTGAGTGATTAACTGATAAGGTCGAACTAGTACTGGGCGTTTTATTCAGAAACACTTCTAAAAAACAGTTTGTCAAAGAAAAACGAACGAACAGTTTCTCGAAGATCCAACATTAGGTTTAAAAACGAACGAAATGAATACAGTTCTACATTTCATTCTCGGAACTGTCTCAATCGCAAAACGTTTACAAACTACATGTTCGTTTGGTAGGTTCATAGGTTGGATCTAAGTTAATACTCTATTATTATTGCTTTATGTACTATTGTCGTATAAATAGAAAACAGTTACAGTAACTACTTTTGATTTGACGTTACGATTAAAGCTAAAATAAATCATATTTATATCTGTACACAATTCAAATTTGTTTGTAGACGCTTAAACAAAAACGAACGGACCGAGAAAAAACGGTATTTTCGACTTTCTCTTATTTTTTTTTATGTAACTGTTTGTGAAGGTCAGCTTGGTCAAACGTACGTTTTTTGTTTTAAAATTTAAATCAGTTTCAGTTGTCGTCAAGTAACGCTTGTCTACCCTTACTGTGTTAGCTAACTTCGAATTTGCAAAAAAGTGACTGTATGTTTACTCGCGAAAAGTGTTTTGTGTGATATATACATTAATTGTTAGTTTTGTAATATACCGATAAAACCGACTTATTTTTTTTTTTTGAAAAACTGTTTCTCAGAACTGTTTCTCATTTCAAAAAACGGTTTCGTTTCGTTTTACAAAAAAGCCTGAAACGACCCAGTACTAGGTCGAACAAAAACTTTTTTTTTAGTATGGCAACCTAACAATTACTGCCAAGTGCCAACCTCCAGTTCAGTAAAAATGCTTGTAACTTGTATTTGAAACGACTAGACGTGGGCGTTATTTCACGTCACTAGACACGGTAACTGGCTACGCGGCATGTAACCGAATCACTAGTTTCGATTCATGTTACAAGTAGTTATTTTTATAAATGCGTGATTATGATTACTGTTAACCATGATTATTGCGGGAGTCGACTGTCGGTCGGTCGAGCGTAAAGCGCACATGTGGCATACAACAATAAACAAAACATCGTAAGTAACAGTATTATTGTACGTTTAATTTTCATACGTAAGACTATAGACATAGACAATAAAATAGAGTAATCTCTGTTTGTAAATACTTTCAACGGTTTGCGATTCCGGGAAGCGAGTCACATTGAATTTAACTAAAATAATTTTTAAAACATTTTTGACGGCGTCATGAACTCGTTTATTCATAAAATTAAAATAAAACTAAAAGATGTGTATAAAAATTTAAAAAAAGTGTAAATAAACTGTAAATATCAATAATCATTGTATATACAATCAAATTGACTTGTAAATATGCCTGCATTAATAGTTTTATGAACATCTTAGTGTCATAGTAAACGCAAATCAATCACAAATACATTTAATGCAGTTAGTCCTACACCTGAATAAAGTATGAAGGGAAGTTAATTTATTGATTTAACAGTATACAGTTACTGTATAGCTACAAACACAGATAGTGATTAAATTTATTTTCGTTTCGTGTGTAACTGTATGTTATAGGTGGTGATATTTATGCAAACAATCACAGCAGCCGAATAAAAATAGCCAGTTACAAAAATCACTAGTTTTGAAACAGGCGACACCGATCAAGTCACTAATTTCGTTACGTTTCTTGAAAATGACATAACGACCCACGTTTAGAAACGACGGACAATCTAAAGAGAAACTACGATTCTGATTTAAAAACCGAAATCATTATGTTAAGAACCATAGAATACTATCATAATGAATCATGATGTGACTTGCACTGAAGTTTATTAAATAAATGATGGATGTTATGTTGAATTAAAATAATACTAAACTCAATATCACATTTAAAATAATGAATAATACTAAATAAAGACGATTGATTGTTAAATAATGGATAAAATTTTATAACTTAATATTATTTAAATTTAAAAATTCCATAAGACAATTGGAAACATTTTTACTTTTTTTAGAAAAAATTAAAAGAGAACGAATTTCTGTAGGAAGAGGAATTTTAAGATTTACCAAAGTGTTAAATAATGAAGTATGATCATATAAAGGACACGAGAAGAAAATATGGTTGAGGTCACCAATATCCAAACCACATTCACATATTGAAGAATTTTTAATTTAATATGAAGCCTAGCAAGGTGAACCGAATTACAGCAGTGACTCAAGCGCATTCTACATAACATTGATGTATGTTTCTTATTTAAGGATAATTTATAAAACCAAGGCTTAGAAGGAATGATAGGTTAAATTTTGGCATAGTGACAGCCTTTTGTCGTTTTGGTTTTATTCCAATGTTTTGACCATCTCTCTCTATATAATAATTTCGTAGTTCCTATAAGGTCATAGCAATAATTTTTAAATAGAAAAGTATCCCCACAAACTATAGCTTGTTTAGCAAGTTTGTCAGCATATTCTTTACCAGATATGCCAATATGACTCGGAATCCAAACGAGAGAAATGTTGATGTGTTCGAATTGGAATAAGAATAGAAGTTTCTTAATTTCAAATATCAAAGGATTGCGGGAAATGTCATAGGAAGGATTGCATAACAATGTTTGTAAAGAACTTAGAGAATCTGAAAATATCACGCTTGATTTTAATTTTAAAAGGTAGCATTATTTTATTGATTGTAAAATGGCTAACATTTCTCCAGTAAAAACTGAAGATTCGGGAAGACTTTTCATTTTTTGAACTATTCTCCAATTTTGATGGTATATTGCGTAGCCAGTACAACCTTTTGAGTTAATCTTAGAAGCATCTGTAAAAATATAATGACTATCTGGGAAATTCTTGTCCAACGTAAATACATATTTTTTATTTGATTCAATAGAAAATTTATTTAATCGTATATCTAATATAAAATTGGGTTTGAAAAGTGCAACTTCAAACGAATTGGAGAAAAGAGGCAGAGTCACCGACCTATGAATAGGAACTAGTAAGGAATTATATTGTTCATAGCTTTTCACTAGGTTAGATATTTCTTTATTACGCCAGTATTTTCCTGAATTAATTGAAATGTACTGAGAAAGCAAACTAATTTTAGGGATTAATGGATGGTTGGAAAATTGAAAAACCCAATAAAAAAAGGAATCCGATAAATATTGTCATCTAATAAAAAGTGGAGGATCACCGCATTCAATCTGCAAGGCATTGATAGGCGACGAATTCATAGCGCCTATAATTAATCATAAAGACTTATGTTGAATGATATCTAATATTTTTAATCCTTTTTTATTAGCGGGTTCAAGAAGAAATGAGGCATAATCTAATCGACTTCTTATAATCGCATTATAAATTAATTTTAAAGAATATGGATGAGCACCCCACCATACCCCGCATAAAGCTCTTAGAATGTTTATATTTTTTTCCCATTTTTTTTGGTATAAATGATATGAGGCATGCCAGATAATTTATTATCAATAATTGCACCAAGGAATTTAATTTGCTGGATATTTACGAGCGGATAATCAAAAAGGCGAACCTGGATTTCAGGTAAAACTCTTTTGCGCAAAAAAAATACTGTATTACTTTTATTTGGGGAAAGTTCTAGTCCATGATCATCTAACCAAGAGGCCATAGAGAGGAGATCATGTTCTACCGCATTAGCACAGGATTCTATACATTTATCATTAACATAAACTAAGATATCATCAGCGTATTGCAAAATTCTACACTTTGAAATACACTGGTCTAAATCTGACGTATAAATATTGTATAATAAAGGACTTAAAACAGAGCCTTGAGGAAGGCATTTGAAAACCTTTCGAGTATATTTTAGATTATCATCAATTTTAATATGTATATATCGATCTAGAAATAAATTGATAATCAAATTTGTAAGTTTTTTGGATATATTAAGCTTAAACATCTTTTCTCTAAGGATGTTAAGTCTGACATTATCGTAAGCAGAAGAAATATCAAGGAAAGCAGCAAGGACCGATTCACTTCTCGAAAATGCTAGTCTAATCAAATGCAAGTCTAATCTGTGGTGAAGATAGAAAGACTGTCATATGTGCTTTTACCTTTTCTGAATCCATATTGGGTATTTGATAACAATCCATGACTTTCTACATACCATTGAAGACGGTTCTTGATCATATGTTCAAAGATTTTAATTAGAGTTGAGGATAGAGCGATCGGTCTGTAGGAAGAACCGTCGTTAGAATTTTTGTCAGGTTTCAAGATAGGAATAATTATTTGAGTCCGCCAAGAGTCAAGAACAAAGCCTATGTCAAACAAAACGTTAATGATATTTAAATAGTAGGATAAAATTTGATCATTAAATTTGGCAAGTAGTGAATATGGAATACCGTCTAAACCAGGAGCTGAATCGTGAACGTGAGAAAGGATGAGCTTTAATTCATATAAAGAAAATGGACGTTCTAAGGGATCAAAAAATAATCAAATGGAATACTTTGAGGTAGTTCCTCTCTCTAAGGAGCAGAAGAGGGGGCAAGTTTATCTAGAAAAGTGTTTATAGATTAAGAGGAAATGGCACCACTGTAAGAACAAGATGAAAAACATTGAAATAATACTAGTTTTTACGGAATTTATCGCGTGTATTTAACTTTTTAATTACCCGACGTTTGGAACGCTTTACAGCACTCATGGTCACGGGCAGGACTGAGATGTTCAACGTCCATATGTCATAGTTAACCGCGGT